GATAGAAAGAGAAGAGACGCATATGCAAAAATCTGGTTTTGGAAGTGAGCAAGTTTCAGGACCGTTTGAGGAGAGACATGTTATAATGAAGTGAAGGGAAGGAAGGCAATTAGGTAATGGGGGCTAAGGGCTTTACAATCTGAGATTTTATAACCATATTAGAAAACAATGCCTTTGACCTCTGAGAAGAAAAAGCAGGCAGGGAGGCTCAGGAGGGAGAGAAATAGTTTCCAAGCTTGGGAACTAAGTAGCAAAATGAGATTGATAGCTTAGGAGTGAGACAGAAAGAGCATTCACGTCCCGCATCGGGCTCCCTGCTTGGCAGGGAGTCTGCTTCTCCCTCTGACCCTCCCCCCTCTCATGTACTCACTCTCTCTCATTCTCTCTCTCTCAAATAAATAAATAAAATCTTAAAAAAAAAAAGAGCATTCACATGGTTTGATAAAATTAGCATTCAAGTCGAGAGGGTCTCCTGAAAACAGCCAGAAACGCAATAAAATCAACAACTGCTATAGCAATTTAGGGATTACAAACTATTCTAATATGGTCCTCAAACTGCCTTCAACAGACCCAAAGAGGGGGCCCAAAGAGGGGGTCAGAGGCCAAGGTTGGGGGCAGGTCTCAAAACTTGGTTCATATGTCCAATGAAGAGGACGTTAAAACTGATACGCTGAGCTTGCAAAACGCAATTTTCCTTCCCTCTCCTAAAACTCTTGGTAATCTTAAATACAATACATAGGACAAGGAGAAATAATTAAAAACATACAACTCACACACACACTGAAGTTCTGTGTTAGGGTAAGTGCTGAGTGGTTCAAAGGCACTGATAGGAAACACCCAACAGAGTTTTCTTGGGGGCTGGGGATAACAGTATGCCTTCATGCATATGGAGAGGGCTGTGTTAGCAGAATTTACATGACACACAACTCACTGTCACTCCTTCAGAACGTCCATCTTTATTTCAGAGCATGAGGAGCGTGTTTTTCAGGTACTCTGAGCCATCTTTGTCAGTGTTATTCTAGTCCCCGCTGTGGTTCATTGGGCTATTGCTATCTGAATCCTGACTATGTGTGGCGGGCTTTGTAGGTATAGATAAATAAAGTTGTATTAGATAATAACCTGTATTCCTTTTCTGTGGCTGCTAGAGCAAATTCCCACAAACTAGGTGACCTAGAGCAAGAGAAATTTGTTCTCTCAGTTCCGGAGGCCAGAGTCTGAAAGCAATGTCACTGGACCAACACCACAATGTCAGCAGGTGCCAGCTCCTTCTGGTGGCTCTGGGGGAGAACCACTTCCTTGCCTCTTCCAGATTCTGCTGGAATTCTGGCAGCTTCTGCTGGTGCTCAGGGGCTTGTGGCCCCATCACTCGAATCTCTGTCTTCACGTCACCTTCTCCTGTGTATGTGTGTGAGCATCTCCCATTGCCTCTCTCTTACAAGGACCTTGTGATGGCATGTAGCACTCCCTCAGTTAATCCAGAATAGCCTCCTATCTCAAGATCCTGAAATCACATCTGCAAAGTGTGTGTGTGCATGTGTGGATGTAGATAAATATCTTTTGCTAGTCAGTTAGCGTCCAGCTAACTGAGTGTCCTTAAGGGTCTAGATGACCTTCTCCGAAGTGGAGAAGCATGGCCCTCAGCTGTTAACTATTGTTTGATGCCCACTGTCCCTCTATGTGCCTCAGCCCAGCACCTCAGGCCTGTTTCTCGTGTCTCCTGCCTGTGGTGCCATCACTTGGGTGGTGACTGAGAAGTCACAGCTCACTCACTCCCTCCTCTCCAAACAGGAAACTTCTCTAATTCTTAGTTGCTCGAACCCCAAAGTACACAGCAACACAGAGCCCAGCCCCAAGGCTCCCTTAATATAGTGAGTGGCTTTCTCTGGGTGCTGGACCCTTGACCTCTGAGGCTCTCTGGTGCCAGAAAGTCTGTAGTGACAGGATTTTAGGAGCCTCCATCCCAGAGCTGCTCATGCTCCTCTGGTAAACAGTCGTTCTTATCCTAGACACTGGGATGGTCCCCTATCAGGCAGGACGTTCACCGAGCCCACTCAGGGAAACAACTGCTCATCTGCCAGGCCCTAGGAAAATCACCCAACTGTATTAAGGCTGCAAAATCAGTGGCCAAGAGCTCTGCAGCTTGGCTTCAGGATTATTATTGCGACTAAAGACTCAGCCCCCTTTGGAAACAATTGTGGAATGAGTTCAATCATAAGCAATCTGGGCCTGCCATCAGAAAAGGCAAGCTCACACCAACATGTCTTTCTCTGGTGAGCCTGGACATGCCCAGCTTCTGAAGCTCCAAAATGAGAGTTGACCCGACTAAAACAGACACTTTGAGATCGAGTTCCTAGACTTCCATTACTAAAGGTCTTCATTTTTTTCATTCCCTTCCTTGCTTGCTCCCATTCTAGCAAAATCTATCATGGTACAAATGATACAACATTGTGGTGTAACGTACAACTGAGTCGAAGACGAAGAAGTGTACGTTTTATAATGAGAAAACCTACAAAGTGGCTACTGTGGGTGTGAATAATCTCCACATGACAAATCTCTTAGGGAGGATTTCAGAGAGAGTACGCTGATTTTTTGGGGGGACTGTTTGCATTGTTCCTAATTTTATTCCATCAGCTCTGCCAAACCTCATTTACTTTGCCACTTGGTGTGGCAGGTTGCTTGAGCCCAAGACTGGGAGTGAAGTTACATGTTCTATTCCAATCTCACTTAGAGAGTGATCTACACTGCTAGAAAAGTCACAGACTCTTTTTTGTTTAGTCCTTCCCTCCATTAAATACACATTATAGTAAATTATTGATACAGGTCTCCTGAAAATGGAAAATGGAAGAGATCAGGGCTCCGTGAAGGGTTTAGATTGTTTGAGAGCAATGTAATGCAACATATTACTTGTATTCAAAGACATCATATTAATTGTAGACATAAAGATTGACTAATAAAATTACATTATTCTAAATAAAACCCAGTAAGGGGGATGGGAGAAATAGGTGATGGGGATTAAGGAGGGCACTTGTTGTGATGAGCACTGTGTGTTGTATGGAAGTGTTGAATCACTAAATTCTACACCTGAAACTAATATTACCCTGTTAACTAACTGTAATGTAAACTAACTGTAGTTAACTAACTGTAATTTAAATAAAAACAAACAAAAAGAAGCATATTGGAAAAAAATAAAACATAGTAAAAAGAACATTATACTTTCACTGCAGGGATAAGGAAAAATGTAAATTTATGGGGGAAAATATGTGAAAAATATTGGGGTTTCCAAAATAATTAAATGACAGATTTCTCTTTCAAGGACTCTTACATCTAATAACATTTTGGCTTATATAGGGAGTATAAATAAGCAAAAGGAATGCATTTGCTTTTGAAAATGAAATTAATCAGAGCTTGCCCATTTTGCTTCTTCTCCTAATAAGTAGAAGGATCAAGGGGCACCTGGGTGGCTCAGTCAGTTAAGCGTCTGCTTTCAGCCTGGGTCATGATCTCAGGATCCTGAGCTAGGGTCCCGCATCAGGCTCCCTGCTCAGCAGGAAGCCTGCTTCTCTCTCTGCCAGCCACTCCTGCTTGTGCACTCTCTCTCTGACGAATAAATAAATAAAAACAATTTTTTAAAAGAAGGATCGAGAAGTCTTTATTGGTTCCTGATTTCCTCTCTATGAATGACTTAGCCTTTTCTTGCCCCATTCTACTATCACATATAACTTGTATCTCAGAGCAGAGTTTAACAGCTTGAGTTCTGGGGTCAGTATCTCTGGGTTCAAATTCCAGATCTACCCTTCTTAGTGATATGGCCTTGGGCAAGTTTCTTATAACCCTTCTGGACTTCAGTACCCTCATCTATAAACATCCCTTAGACTGTTGCAGTGCATATTAGTGCTCAGATCTTAGAAAGCTCTCAACAAATCTTAGCTACTGATATTACTTTCTTTTAATATATGAACTGCTGTTTCTTGTGTTAGACTGATTTATGTTTGTTTCCATCTCTCCCACTAAGTTGTAAGAGGGGACTGTGTCTTCTTCACCTTTTTCTCTCTCCCATGTGTTTACTATAATGCATTATACATGGTAGAGACCTGGTGAATATTTGTAGAATTGAATTTTCTCAAGCGTTTGGAAAATCTATGCACAAAATCCTATGAAGTTTCCAATGAAGTATCAGAAATCTAGTATATTGCAAAACCCTATTTTAAAGGGAAAAATATCACCTTAAAGACTACAGTTGAATCATTCCTCCCTCTTGCTGTCCTCAGGCTCAACCTTAAATCAGGTTTCACTCATCTGTTGTTTGTACTTTGGTCTCTAGACATTGCCTGTCAGCCCATCCTGTACTACTCACAACACCAGAGCTGATTCTCCCGGAGAGGCTTACACCAAATCATGTCTTCCTGCATAACGTGTGGAGTGTTCCACACCAGTCCTCCACTTCGGTTCTTAGAACCCAAGAGTTATGACCTCCGAGCTCTCTTAGGACCCAGTTTCTGTCTCATGTGAAATGGGATTTGTAAGGTTTAGCTTCCATGAGTCTAATTCTACTGATCACATAAATAAATAATAAATTGTGTAATTCTGTTAAATGAGTTTGAAAGCCCTTCCGGCTACCCACTTTAAGCAGTAATATTTGCTAAGAGATTTTTTTTTCTTAATGTTCCCTGAAGGCATCTGGTTGAAACTCCTAAGCAACTGGAGCGGGTGAGGCATTGTAGTAACAATGGATTTGCTGCATAATACTTGGGCCTAAGAAATGTCACATTCCCTTATTTGTTCAAAATCAAATTATATCTGGTCCGGTTGTGAGCTTTATTTTTTTGATCCTAGTCAGGTTTGGGGAATTCTTTCCCCTTCCTGAGGGTCAAGCAGGAGGGTATTTTCACAATTAAGGGCATTAGGCAATAGGTGTTTTTGATCACAGTTAATGCTCCCCCCATCCAAGTTCTGCAGGTGGGCAGCTCTAGCCCCCTTCGACTGAGTAGAGGCATAAGAGCCCATCTAAGCTGGCTCCTCCCTCATTCCTGGTATCCAACTCAGCCTTCATGTGTTTTTGTTGGCTTCCCCCATTAGAGTTCAGCATTTCTACTCAAGAAGAGACTTCGGGTCTCTACCGCTCTTGAAAACCTATCCCTTCTCAGTCTGTCTGCTCCCATCCACCTCCTCTTGCCCTGGTCCTAGAGGTTTGCTCTAGGGCATCTTCCAGGCCAAGCTGTCAAAAAAAGGTCCTACTGTTTCTTCCCTGTGAATACCAGAAGCCTCTGGGATGAAACTGCTTAGGTAAAAAGCATAAGGAAGAGAGAAAAAAATTTGCACTCTGTCCTGAGTCTTACACTATAGGAAAAATAAGATCGAATTTAATATCTCTATAAATTATTCTGCTGTGTGTTTTACTAAAGTCCCTTGCCTTACTACATATTCTCTTTCAGGCCAAACTCAGAAATCTGGGCACAGAGGCCCGTTGCAAGGAGACAGTGGGGCAGGGTCAGCATAAGCAGGATTTGTACCCAGCGTGCATCTGGGGGAAGTTGACAGAATCTTGCTTTTCTGGGACAATAGAAACCTCCAAGGGACTAGACTGTGGCCAATATCTGGATACTCAATGGGGAAACAGAACTTCTTCCATGGGGTGAGTCCTAAAACAACCAAGGGAGACTAGATTCTGGTCTTTCCTGCCTTTTTTGTGATAAGTCTATATTTTAGCCAACATTAAATGTTTGTCTACTCGTATAGGGCCAACAAAGCAGTTCTTGAATAGATCAGTGCCCTTGGAATCCAAGGAACAGTTTTATTTAATGGGCTCATTTTGTTGATAATATATTCAGAGCAAAGATGTTAAGTTTTAAAGTCAATCATCACCATTTTGGCTTATGTTTAGGAGTTGCCATAAATTTAAAAAAGTAAACTAGAAATTATCTAAAGATATATAATTGTATTAGTTTCCATTTTAAGCATTAATACATTGAACTAATAAAGTAGCAGCAAATTCAGGTTCTTAAAATTTTTCTTTTAAAAATTAAGCATACTAGGGGCGCCTGCGTGGCTCAGTCGTTAAGCGTCTGCCTTTGGCCCAGGTCATGATCTCAGGGTCCTGGGATCAGGCCGTGCATCGGGCTCCCCGCTCAGCTGGAAGCCTGCTTTTCCCTCTCCCACCCACCCCTGCTTGTGTTCCCTCTCTCGCTGTCTCTCTCTCTGTCAAATAAATAAATTTTTAAAATCTTAAAAAAAAAAAATCAAGCATACTAGGAGCACTGGGTGTTATACACAACTGATGAATTGTTGAACACTACATCTGAAATTAATGATGTACTATGTGTTGGCTAATTAAATTTAAAAAATTAAGCATACTTATAATCAGAATCTTAGAATTTGCAAATATATTAATTCTAAGAATTAGGACCTAACTTGAGTATAACTGGGAATTTGGGTCAATCAAGCTATGCTCAAATATGCTTCTTTCTTTTTCAGGGTATGGAAAATGCTCTTTATGTTTTATTTTTTAAAAATTGAGGGTTAATTAACATATAATATTGTGTGAGTTTAAGATGTACAGTGTGTTGATTTGATACATTTATATATTGCAGTATGATTACCACTGTAACATTATCTGACACCTCCATCATGTCACATAATTAGTGTTTCTTTTTTTGTGGTGAGAACGTTTACAATCTAGTCTCTTAGCAACTTTGGAGTATATAATACAGTATTGTTGATTATGATCACAATGCTGTGTGTTAGATCTCCAGAACTTATTTATCTCCTAACTGTAAGTCTGTACCCTGCGAGCAACATCTCCTCAATTCCTCCACCCCCTAGCCCTTGGCAGCCACCATTTTACTCTGTTTCTGTGAGTTTGGCTTTTTTAGACTCCACATATAAGTGATATCATATGCTATTTGTCTGTCTCTGTCTGACTTATCTCACTTAGCATAATGCCCTCAAGTTCTATCCCTGTTGTCACAAATGGCAGGACTTTCTTCTTTCCCAAGACTGTACAAGACATCCCCCACAACAGAGAATTATCCTGTCCAAATGTCAATAGCTCTGTTGCTGAGAACTCCTGGTGTTTACCAATGCTAGGGTTTGATCTAAGCCAGACAAAGTTATTTCCTTGACTTTAAAACAGCAGTTGCCAGAACAGAGCATTTGTGTGGCTATGACAACCCCAGGGAGAGTGATGTCAGCAGGTGCCAACAGAAGCCCCGCTATGGCTGGAAAACTGACCTCAGTGCCATGATGTGAGGACATGGGAGGGAATGCAGGTGGAGGAATGGAAATGTGAGATGGTCATAGCCTTTTGAGAACACCTGTGGAGAAAGCTGAGAAATTTCTGGAGGAAATTGTAGTCTGAGCCCTGCATTCTTCTTCTTCTTCTTCTTCTTTTTTTAATAAATTTTAAATCAGTGTGTTTATATCTCAGCCTTGTTTCAGAAGAGCACTCAGTTTCCTTTTGTGAAATAGCTTCTAGGAAACAACTGTTACTCCAGGTTTTTCCAGCCTATTAAAGAGAATAAATAGAAATAAAATAGGCATTTCTATATTTTTCTTTAGGGTTAGAAGCCCATCTTTAGATTATTGTTGAAATATATTCAAATAGTTGACTTCATATTATCAAAGAAATTTCTCAAGAAATTCCACTTCTGTTCATTTGTCAAAGTCATCTCATTTTTATCCTAATTCAAGATAATTCAATCAAAATGTATTTATGAACATGGTCATTAATAATATTAAGGTGTTTAAAGATAATTAGTAACATGCCAGTAAGAGTATAATATTTCACCTGAAAAATGCTTAACAGTTGCCAGACAAATGAGAATCAAGAATTAATTGCATCATAAATGACATTTGCTTTCAAAGAGATTTTTATCTGATGATTTTCTCAGGGCATATTTGTCAATCTAAATATTTTGTGTCTTGGCTAAGAAAATAAGGAAGCAAATGAAAAACACATTTTTAATTTGAAAATCCTTCCTAGAGATTGTTTCTTTTTCCCCATTTTAGAAATTAGTCTTCAGTTTTTTAAACAATAGGATATATATCCAGAATATAGAGAGAACTCTTTTTTTAAAATATTTTATTTATTTATTTGAGAGAGAGAGAGCATGAGAGGGGGGAGGGTCAGAGGGAGAAGCAGACTCCTCACTGAGCAGGGAGCCCGATGCAGGACTCGATCCTGGGACTCCCGGATCATGACCTGAGCTGAAAGCAGTTGCTTAACCAACTGAGCCACCCAGGTGCCCCAGAGAGAACTCTTTAAACAATAGAAAAAAGGCAATCAATCCAAGCACAGATTGGACCAAAGATATTGCTAAAGAGGATAGACATATGGTGAATACGCACAGGAAAAGATGTTCTATATTATTAGGCATTAGGGAAATGTAAATTAAAGTACCATATACCTATTAGAATGATTAAAATAAAAACTGCTGATAATACTAAGTACTGACAAGATGCAGCGCAACTGAATCTCTCATACACTACTTGGAGAATGTAAATGGTAGAGCCACTCTGAAAAAGTTTGGCAGTTTCTTTAAAAGTTAAACATGGAGTTACCATCTGACTATATAATCACATTCCTGGGTATTTATCCTAGAGAAATGAAAATTTATGTTCATATGAAAGCCTATAGATAAATGTTCATAGCATCTTTATTTGCAATAGCTCCAAAATGGAAACAACCTAAATGTCTTTCAATGGGTGGCTAGATAAACAAACTGTGGTAATCCATACAATAGAACACTATTTAGCAATAAAAAAGACACATTATTAATAAGCAAATAACTGGATGAGTCTCAGGGACACTGTAATGAGTTAAAAAAGCCAATCTCAGAAAACTACATTCTGTATGATTCCATTTATATAACATTCTGGAAGTGACAAAGTTATAATTGTGAAGAATAAAGCAGTAGTTGCTAGGAATCGATTAGGATTGGGGGTGGATGGGAAGGCAACTATAAAAGGGTAGCATGAAGCATACTTCTTGGTGGTGACAGAACAGCTCTATATCCTGTTAGTGTGTTTACATTAATCTATACATATCATAAAATTTCACAGAACTATGCCACATAAAAAAGAATAGTGCAAAATTGTTAAAATCTGACTAAGTCTAGATTATCAATAGTATTGTACCAATATCAGTTTCTTGGCTTTTATAATGTTATGTAAGATGTTATCATTGGGGAAATCTGGGTGAAGTGTACATGGGAATGATCTGTATTATTTTTGAAATTTCTTGTAAATCTAAAATTGTTTCAAATAAAAAGTTGAAAAAAAACCCCAGGAGTTAATTCAAAATCTGGTTACAAAATGACTTTGTCAATTGGTTCCCACACTCTTCTCCTACACACCTTCCTCTGACCTTAGAATTCTTCTCTAGGAAAGAATTAAAGAACTGTCTGGGGTGAATCAAGGCTCCTATGGTAGATATTATTAAGCTCTCTACATTTAGGAGCCTTCTGCCTATTCAGTCTAACATGGAGCTTTCCCTAGTGGGAAAGTGAAATACATATGCAGCAGAAAAGAAAACCTACACCAGTTATCTTGAAATAGAAAACATAAAATATAAATATAAAAGAACAACCAAACATCACTATATATATATAAAGAAAATCCACAGTTTAAAAGACCAAGAAAAAGAAATAGAAAGTAACTGGTAATTTAGAGAACAAAAGAAAAATTTGAATCTGTGAACTCTATTTCTTGTCCTTAAAGAGAAGTGAAATCAGAGAGGGAGATGAACCATGAGAGACTATGGACCCCGGGGGAAACAATCTCAGGGTTTCAGAGGGGGTGGGGGTAAGGGGAGGGGGTGACAGGATGATGGGTATTGAGGAGGGCACATGCTGTAATGAGCACTGGGTGTTATACTTAACTAATGAATCATTGAACACTGCATCAAAAACTTAATTACTATACAGTGGCTAACTGAACATTAAAAAAAAGATGAACATCAAGAAAACTACATATAAAATTTACAGGTGGCCAAAATCAACTTAATAAAGTAAGAAAATCAGAAGTAAGAAGATAGATTTAATTAAACTTTAAAATTTTATGGTCAAAAAAAGAAATGTGAAGATGTCGTATTCATAAAATAAGTGTTGAGCAATCAGAAAACAAAAAAAGGGAGGACCTGAGTTGCTCAGTTGGTTAAGCATCAGCCTTTGGCTCAGGTCATGATCCCAGGGTCCTGTGATGGAGCCCCCTGTTGGACTCTTTGCTCAGCAGGGAGCCTGCTTTTCCCTCTCCCTCTGCCTGCCACTCCCCCTGCTTGAGCTCTCTCTCTCTCTCTCTGTCAAATAAATAAATAAAATCTTAAAAAAAAAACAGAAGGTCAAGCCAAAATATCAACAAGTTGTATAGTAAGAATTCCAGAAAGAAAAGAATTAAAACAAAACTAAAAGGGTGGGGAAGGGGGTGGGAAATCAAGGGAGAAGAAATAATGAAAGAACTAAGAGAATTTCCCAGAGCTAAAGAACCTTCTTATGGAAGCAATCCACTGAGTGATGAGCAGATCGAATAAAAAAGACGCTCATCAAGATATAACTTCATGAAAATTCAGTACTTTTAAAGATAAGGCATAAAATAGAAACTTCTTCCAAGATTAAAAAAAAATATGGATCACCTGCATAG